CTTAATGCAGTAAATACGTATACCAAACTGAAGGGTCGTTTGTGTAAGTCAACGAGAAGGTCAGGTCAGGTCATGTCATGAGACACAATGTCGGGGATTTGTTTGTCAGTATTTTTGTTTGTATTGACTATGACATGTCAGGAAATTCTTAGTTTATTGATATAGCAATACTGGATAGCACCATTTATCATGGACCATAGAACCATGGTCCAGTAAGGGCAATAGACGGTGGTCCATGTTTGGTTGGGTTACTCAGGGCTGGACCATTCTCAAGCGTGACCTAAGAGGGTATCGACCCGAGACACAGTGGTGGGGAGAGTCATCAAACCTGGTGTCAGAGTGAAATAACCACCGTGTTCTTCTAACCTGACCTGACCTGACCTAATCTAACCGGTCTAGATTTAAATGTTATCTGGTCAGAGAGAGAGAGAGAGAGAGAGAGAGAGAGAGAGAGAGAGAGAGAGAGAGAGAGAGATCCAATAAACACTTCATCATAACGGTTCAGTTCCTCAGTCTCCTCTCGTCAACAAACACTAATGTTATACCGGAAGGGCTGAACCCAACATTTTTTTTTTGCGGAGAAGAATAGAAGAATGAGGGGCGTTGACGTATTTACCCCAGGCCTCAGGAGCCGGAGAGAGAGAGAGAGAGAGAGAGAGAGAGTGTTAGGCGGCAGGAGGCAACAGTGGTAATAATAGTCTCCAGCCACTGTGGTAGAGACAATAGCCTCTCATACAGTAATTATCTCATTATTAGTGTGGTTAGTGACAGCTGTTAGTTAAGATACGGCCGGCCTCGGTGTGTGTGTGTGTGTGTGTGTTTGGTGACGTGTCGCTGGGTAATGCTGACGTGACAGTTGAGAGAGCGTGTCATTAGAGCACTGAAGGTCCACTACTCTCACTGACTGACAGACAGACACAGCCAGAGGACTGTATTTATGTGGTGAGACAGTGATGCGGGGATGAGCATCGTGTGGTAATAATATATATTGTCTACTACAACTCCTTCTACTACTACTACGTTACTAGCGGGAGGTAGTTGGCCAAGTGGCCTAGCGGGGGGTAAGTGGCCAGGTGGCCTAGGTTAGGTTAGGCGAGAAGTTACCGACCATGTGTGAACAGGTAACGTATACAGTACCTGGCCAGAACGTAGCTGGGGAACCTGTAGGTGAGAGAGTCCCGGTGCTGGAAGTAGCCATAGCGTCGAGGGGGCGGCCGGTACACATACACCAGGGACTCTGGGTCTGTGGTCAGCACCGAGTAGATCTCCGCCACTGATGAATATATGGAGCTGGAGTCGCCTTCCGTCAGGTATAAGGACGTGCTGTCGTTCAGGGTGCTTGTTGTCGACGTGTCTGAGTCGTCGTCGGTGTCTGAATATTCCGAATCAAAGTTGACCACCAAGGGAGGAATATAGTTGGGGTGTGGCGCCGTCATGGTGTTGTGACGGAAGGTCTTGTTGTCAGAGTAAGGTCTTGACGCGGGTCGTGCCAGCCTGATGGGTGGGTCAAGTGTTGTTATGATGTGAGGCGCCGAGCTGAAGCAGCACGCCTGGCCGGACTTGTTCGTCCGGCAGCGAGTGTGATGGTCAGGGCTCCACGGTCCTCTGCCTGGCTCTTTAGTCTCCGGCAGTTCTATAGTCAGCGGCGGGCGGACCACCTCAGGAGGTTTAGTCCGAACCATCACCTGGACTTTGCCTGCTGGGTCACTAACGCTGTCTCGCGACCCCTTGACGGAGTGGTTCGCCTTCAGGTTGATTTTAGAGGAACCTGAAGACGAGGTGTAGTTGGTCTGCGAGGGAACCTGGTAATTATCTTCACTCGTGGAAAAGCTCGAGTTACTCTTCACGCTAGTTTTTCTGTCGACTCTATTTTCAGTGTCATGTGAACTGTGGTGATCCACCAAGCTCTTATTGTTGGTACTCGAGACATGGATCACTGTTGGTGGTCGACTCGTCTCGCTGTACATGTCCGAGACGGTGATGCCACTCGAGTTGTCTACGTCTGGGTCGTAATTGCCGGGGTTGTTGTTGGTGATGTAAATGGCACTTTTGTGACTCTCGTGTGAGGAGGAAGAGAGCGACTGAGAGGAACTCCTCGTTGTCTTGGGTAGAGGAGAACCACTCGTGTCCTCGCTCCTCGCGCTCACTGAACTGATGGTGCATGACACATCCTCAGTACCTTCCGTCTCTTTATTGTGATGTTTCTCCGGCCTCACGTCCAGGGTGTTCAGTTTTCTCGGCACTGTTTTTCCCTGTTGCTGCTGGCACACAGGCGACTGGGAGCACACGTCATTCCCTGCCTTGGCCTCTCTGTGCTCTTGGTTGTCATCTTGAATCGAGGAGCACGACACTGTCACCTCCTCCTCCTGCAGTGTCTCTTCAGGCACCCCATTAACCACCTGGATCTGCTGGTACTCGTGCTCTATCTCTGTGTCCGGGAAGGTCATCACGTCTTCCTGGTCAGAGAAGCAGGAGATGAGGGACTCGTACAGCGGCGACTCTGTCCAGGGGAGAGAAGACGGGAGTTAATGTGAGGCGGGAAGCTCTTAAGGTCACGTTAAGATAAGACATGAAAAATAATTTTCACCCATTGAATAATAATAATAAAATACTACTACTACTGTAACCGCCTTAGTTAAGGGCGGTCGGGTGACGGGAAAGTCCAAGGGAATGGTTGAAACCCGCCTTTTGACGCACTCAGTATTTATTGATATGGTAAAAAACCTGCAGAGAACAAGGCGTTCACCAGTATTACATGGTGATCCATCCGATACATAATTAGTTAGTCTCACACAATTTTATCTTAACTACATAAGGTCATTAAACATGGTGACATAATACAAAGTACATAACTATGAATCTTAGTTGCGCTTCATTCCACATTGTCTTACTGCTCCAGATAAGGCAGAAAACGAGTAGGCGCAGTATTTTATATATCACTTTATTACGAACAAAATAAGTCCACAATATTTCAGTACTGAGGGTTACGTCATCACGTAGGTTGGTACTTGCAAGTGCGGGTCGATGTAAATCAGTAAGGTGTTCCAAGAGACAACAGTACTGCGTACATTGTCTAAGCACAAAACTCAGAAACAGGATTTTGAGTTGGTATGTTCACGACACTCGATGGGGTGGCACGACACTGTGTACCAGAGGTATCCCGAGCCCTTATCCATGGTAATAACAATGAAAAGCTTGTTCTAAGGCTGCGACATTTACATCTGGCGAGGTCACAGGTCGCGCGGCCACATGGGAGTCACAACCGCCCACACTCCACCCGCATCCTCCACTTCCCTCACACTGATCATTTCCCTATCCACACTACCCTCCAGTACATGAGAGTACCCGCCCCACCCAAGTGCCCTAGGCTCAGCCTACCCCGTCAACGTACCTGCCTTTATCACCACCATTGTTGAATGGTTTCAGGGTTACACTCACCACCGCAGACCAACTCTACCTTGATCTGTCCAAACAATGCACTACGTTCCTCCGGCCTATCCCAAAACACCGCCATCCTAACCGCCAGCCCAGGAGTCAGTGGAATGTTAACCGCGACCCTCATGTTAAGTATCTGAGGATGGCACCAAATAGCAGTGGACCAGTGGAAGAAATCTCCCAGTTCCCCTGACGCTCTACGCTTCCTGATGTGCACAAATAAAGAGCTCCAATCTGCCATCACTCTCGCACGAGAGAGGCAGTGGTTTTATTTCACTTCTTCTATTAACCAGTCTACATCTATAAGTGATATATGGCGCACCATTAACCGTGCCCGGGGCACCAACGCCAGGTCCGCCCCCCATCCCAGACCTGCTGCCCGCGCCGAGGCGCTCTCCCAGGCGTGGCAAGAGGCCTCCTCCATCGATGCGCCGCTACCACCTGCTGTACGAGACCTCACCCTCGATCTGCAACCACAACGCCAACAGCGCATCTCTGAGTAGCAAGACCTACCTGCAGACACTAACATGCCTTTCACACGGTGTGAACTACTAAATGCTGTTAAGCGCGGTCGGTCCACTGCCCCTGGCAATGACGGAGTCACATGATGTGCTAAATGCCCTTGTTGCCACCCCTGGTGATCCCCTCCTCTGTCTATTTAACCTCTCATGATACTGGACAGCTGCCCCATTTATGGAAGACTGCCACCACCTTCCCAGTCCTTAAACCAGGCAGACAGGAATATCGTCCAATCTCCCTCCTCTCCTGCTTCTTAAAGATGATGGAACGCATGTTACGCCACCGCCTCCACTGGAAAATTGAAGCCCACCTGCACCCGACCTCTATAGGTTTTGCCCTGGGAAGAGTACTGCTCACTACATGGCGAACACCTCAGCCAAAACCTCCCTCTTCGTCAAATTCAAGGGTGCTACTTCACCTAGCTTGGAGAAGGACGTGCCCCTACGTGCTCGTGTTAGTGACCATAGGAAATGGCCGCCGTGGATCGTTGTATTGTGGGGGAAGAGGGACGGTGTGTGAGGAGAGACGACCCCCTAGCCACTCTGTTAAGTCAGCTGGAGCAGTTGAGGAGAGAGGTAGACGTTCTAAAGAACATAAGAATGGAGGAAACTGCAGCGGGCCTATTGGCCCATACTGGGCAGTCCCGTTTACACCCAACCCCTATTGCTCATATGCGCATCCAACCTATGTTTGAAGCAATTCAGCGTATTCGAGTTAATGATGATATTTGGTAACTTGTTCCATTCATCCACCACTCTGTTCCAAACCAGTGTTTACCTATTTCACGCCTAAATCTAAATTTGTCTAATTTAAAACCATTGTTACGAGTTCGCTCCTGGTTGGATAATTTGAGTACCTTTGTAATGTCCCCTTTGTTTAGCCCTGTCTTCCACTTATACACCTCTATCAGGTCGCCCCTCGCTCTACGTCTCTCGAGGGAGTGCAAATTAAGATGCTTTAACCTGTCTCTATACTCAAGGTTCCTAATGCCCTCAGGACTGAACTCCTTCAGGTAGGTGTCCTGCCTAGCAGGACACCTGCGAAGGAGGGTCAGGAGGAGCAGGCGTAGAGAGTGCTTGTCTCCAAGTGGACTAGGGTCAGACTCAGGAAAGCTGACCAGGGTGTGGAGTGCAGTAACCCCTACCAAGTGTTGGAGGAAGCTGGCGAGGAAGAGAAGAGGCAGGACGAGGAAGGGAAGAGGCAAGACGGTGTGGTGCCAGGAGAGAAAAGGGCAGTTGTTCAAACCCTGCCCAGTGGTAAGGTCGTGGTAGTTGGGGACAGCCAGGTGAGGTTCTTAGATAAGACTTTTTGTGCAAGAGATAGGAAACGTAGGACTAGGGTGTGTTTTCCTGGGGTTGGGTATAGGGCATGTAGCTGAGAGGATAGATAGGGTTTAGTCAGGGGAGGGTACCAAGCCAGTAGTGTGTCTTAGTGTAGGAGGTAACGACATAGGAAAGGTTAGGAGTGAGAAACTTTTCAAGAGGTATAGGGAGGCTCTAGGGAAGGTTAGAGATAGGGGAGGGATCCCGATAGTATGTGGTGTCTTGCCTAGAAGAGGAGTTGGTATGGCTGTCCAACGCAATTGTTATAAATTGCTGATTGGAAAAAAATTGTGCAAACAATGGTTGGGCGTCCATTAATAACTGGCAACCATTCTATGGCAACGACTACCTGTACAGTCGTGACGGAGTACATTTGACTCGCGCGGGGGTAAAGACGTTGTCTGCATCCCTAGAGCGTGAAATTGTCACTCCCAAGGGGGTTCGCCAGAGAGAGAGGTCAGGGTAAGTGGGAGTAAAAACAAGCAGGTCCTGCGGAGTAAAATTGGTTACTCAGGACAAGGGGTAAAACAGGACCAGGGAAGGGTAGGTTTAAATGTATACTATACAAACAGTAGGAGCGTTAGAAATAAAAGAGACTTGCTGAGAGCGGTTGTATGTACCGAGAATGTAGACGTCATTGCAATCACCGAAACTTGGATGAATCTGGCGAGCAAGAACTTTTTATCAGAGTACCACATAGAAAGGTACAACCTTTTTCACAAGGACAGGGAAGGTAGGAAGGGGGGAGGGGTCACACTCTTCGTTAGGGATACATTTAAATGTTGTATTAATAATTCAATAAAGGGTGAAATAGGAACCGAGTCTGTATGGGTAGAAATTGTGGAAGGAAGAGCAAAACTAATTATGGGAGTGATTTACAGGCCCCCAAGTCTTGGGAAGGAAGCAGCTCAGCCCATATGGCAGGAAATGAGTAGGGCAGCAAAATACAACAACCTGTGCATTATGGGGGATTTCAACTTCAGAAATATTGACTGGGACAACATTGTAGGTGACTGAATCTGAAGCCTTCCTGGACGCAGTACAGGACAACTTTTTAAAACAACTAATTACAGAACCTACTAGAGGTGACAATATATTAGACCTAGTATTAACAAATAAAGAAAATATTATCAGAGATATCACAGTAGGGGAAGAACTAGGGAACAGTGATCACAGAGAAATCAGGTTCACCCTAAATTGGGAAACGAAAAACAATGACAATATGGTCAGAGTCCCAGTCTTTCGATAGGCAGATTATGAGGGGTTAAGAAGGTACCTAGGTGAGTCAGGTCAGTCCCCGGTAGGAACATGTGAGGTCACAGGCGACACAACAATTGATCATGACTATAATATATTCACCAGTATACTACGTAAAGCACAAGAACAAAATATACCATACATAAAAATTAGATCAAATAAGAATGAGCCAAGGTGGATAACCAGAAAACTTAAACATGACATAGGAATAAAGAAAGGAATTTATAAGAAATTAAAGGGAGGGGAGGAGCAGCTCAGAAATAGGTATAATGAACTATCTAGGAATGTTAAGAAAAATGTAAGGAAGGCAAAGAGGGACTATGAAATCAGGATAGCAAGAGAATCCAAGGCGAATCCCAGGGGATTTTTCCAGGTATAGAGGACAAAGGTCAAGGACGAAGTGCGACCTTTAAAGTCAGAGAGAGGGGAAGTGATCGATGATAGTGAGAAAATAGCAAAACATTAAACAGCTGCTACTTATCAGTTTTCACAGAAGAATTCACGAGGAAATGCCAGAGGTGGAACTGATATTTACGGAAATGAAGAAGAGAAATTCAAGAATATCACTATCAGAAAAGAGGATGTTCTTAAGAAGATAAATGAATTAAACAAGACAAAATCCCCGGGGCCGGATGAAATTTTCCCTCGAGTTTTGAAAGAGTGTAAGGAACAGATTAGCGGACCCCTCGTAAATCTATTTACAAAATCATTAGACACGGGAGTTGTGCCAGACTTGTGGAAACAGGCAAATGTAGTACCCATATTCAAAAAGGGAAACAGAGCATCAGAGTCAAATTACCAGCCGATTAGTTTGACGTCAGTAGTGGGGAAATTTCTTGAATCAATTATAGCAAATAGCATCCGATCGCATTTAGAGAAAAACAAATTAATCTACGACTCTCAACATGGGTTTACAAAGGGAAAATCTCGTCTAAAAAGCCTGCTCACGTTTTTTCAGGAAAGTCTT